ACCACAAGCCTGTGGAAAGAAAGAACTATCTCCTTAGAAAATTATTGGAAAGATTAACGAAAACGCGATTACTCACGCAAAGAATACTACCAAAAAATAATATGTTACCAGCCTACTCAAAAAAATCAAATTCCGGTTGAATGGTTTGTTTAACAGTGAAGAGAGCGAGAGAGAGTTAAATGAATTTATGCTTGAATGCAAATTACATTTAATGAAAACATTAGCATTCCAATGACCGAATATCATTTAGGCTAATTTGTCTAAATTATTTCTCAAACACTAAGATCCATCTTTCAACATAGCTTTGTGATATATTCACCACAAACTGGATCAGTCAAATACACACTGATCATTTCTTTTTAGCTGTACAACTAAAAAGTATTACGTTAAAAAGCTAAGTTTATATGAAAAATGTGAACATTCTCAATTGCATTGACTGTCACTCATTAATGTTGTCATTACTTGGTGATAATATTAGTGACATTTAATAATAACCAAGAATTTGGAAGAGATTATGAAAATTTCATAGTTTTTGAAGTAAAGAAACATATATTGATGAGGGTATAAAAATAGGATTAAATTGATATTACTTAGACGTAAATTTTGAAGTTCATCAGAAGTACAATCACAATAGAGCCGAATAATTTTAATCGTTATGGTTTCTTTGAAGTATAAATCGAAATCTATTGGTCAATCTGTAATGCCGACCGTAGCTGTTACCTTGACGTGGTGGTCGGGCTTGCCTACGGTGATGACCCATTCGAGCTATACTGGCTGGAACGTGTTCCTGAAGGTTCTGCCATGCCAGACAGGTCGATTGGAGAACGATGAGACTAAATGCAGCTACCCAAGGTCTGAGGGCGAAGTCGTACTGCTGACTGCGGAGAGGTGTGACGGCAGTAAGGTGTTTCCCTCGGACAACCAGCATCTACAGCGATGCTGCCTTCTCACAAAGAAGGAAGGGTTAGAAAAGGTCGACCCTAAAAATATCGCACCTCACTGATTTCCGTCTCCGTCAGTAAGAATGCCCACTAAGGGCTTTCAAGAGCGGAGCTAATACTAGGATTCGAACCCAGGACCTTCGATCTTGCGTGCGAACGCCTAACGTCTGAACCACTGGGCCAGTATTTCCACATTGCCTCAATCAAATATATGTCCATAATTGTCTGTATGTATTGATATAAGCGAAGAATTGTCGTGGCGTTTGACTGCTAATTGGTGTTCACGTAAACGAAGCTGAAGAGGACGTCGATTTAGTACTATGTAGTGTTTTTCACAGTTTGAGCAATTTATTTTGTAAATGACATTTGGTTTTTCTTCTTTTGTCATTTTGTTCTTTGGTCTACACAGGATTGACTGAAGTGATTCCGTTGGTTTTGTGTGACACACCTATTCCAAATGGTTTCAGTAGTCGTGCTGTATGCTGCTATATGTCTTTTATGTATGGTAGGATGATCCGTTTATTGGTTCCTGTACTTGATTTTTCAACTAATGACGATTTCGGTCGATGATTTACGATGAAGTTGCGTGTAAAACCGTTCTTTTGGAAGATAGTCATAAGACGTTTTTCCTCGTTTTCCAGTGCTTCATATTTGCTGCAGTGTGTCTTCGCTCTCTTGAAAAAAGTTTGTATGCAGTTGATTTTGTAGGTTCTTGGGTTGTTGCTACTGTAGTTGGGAATTACGTCTGTGCGGGTTGAAATCCGAAATACTTGAGTTTCCAGTTTTCCTGTGTTAGTTCTGGTGATTAGTACATCCAGGAATGATAGACTATTGTTTGATTCCTTTTCCATCATGAATTTGATGTCATCGAAGACGCTGTTGATCTGATTGTAGATGTTCCCCAGGTCGTTCCTTTTGATAATGACGAATGTGTCGTCTACATAGCGAACCCACATTTCCGGCTTGATCACTGGTAAAATCGACGCTTATAGTCTCTGCATTATCGTTTCCGCGATGAGTCCTGATATTGGTGATCCCATTGGTGTTCCTTTTATTTGTTCGTAGACTCTGTTGTTGAATTGAAAATACATTGTTAAGCATAGATCGATGGGTTCAAGCAGACTTTGGTTCTGAAGCTTTGGATATTTTTGCAGATTTGTGTCGTTGATGAGGAGCAGGGAAAGAGTTTCATTAGCTAAGCTTGGCTCGATTGAGGTGAGTAAGGCTGTTACGTCGAAGAATATCATCGTTTCGTCGTTGTCGATTTGAATGCCCTTGAGTTTATCCAAGAATTGTGTGGCAGATTTATTGGAGTTATTAGATTCAGCCACCAGATGTTTCAATATCCTTGAAATTTCTCTTGATAAGTTTGTAAGTCGGGTCTCTTATCACAAACATGAATTTTGGTTTTAATCAAACCTTATAATAATAATCAGAGGCAGTTCAGTCTGTACTGTAATATATTTTGCATGTCACGATCACAACAAACAAAAATTGAGCGAAGCAAAATAGCCATGTTAAATTATATGATATCAGATAAATAATTAAGTTAATCGTACCAACACATTGAATTATCGAGTGACAATCTATTTTCAATTCAAAAACTCAACATAAACCGCTACATCGTTCGGTTTACTAATATTCAGAAAACATTAGGAAAATCATTACAAAATGATATAAATAGACGGGAAAATTTGCATAAAACGATACATTTTTTTATTGAAAAAAATACAATTGGATGCAGAGTGAATACATGGCTACCGGTAATATAAGGGTTTATGCTAAATTTTTCTGTCTACTTATTTGATATGCTCAGTATGTAAGTTTTAAATAAATTGTAATTAACAATTCTCAAATAGTTTAAAACATTACAGTCATTATGGCAAATCATAAGTATTAAACTATCCAATCGTAATATGAAAATAAAACCTAGCTGAGTTATTAAAATCACCAAACTTTTTAATATTATTTTTTTGAACAATTGAAAGTAAACTAAATCGAGAATTCTGACATTGTTATGCTCGTTAGATTGATATGCTTGAAACTATTAGGAGTTCATTTTAATCGATAAAGGAGAACAAGACAAATGATCCAGTGACACGATAGGCTATTCTGATCCCATTGTTCTCGGTCCTGCTAACGAAATCAAAAAGTCTTGATATGGCGTAGAAAGTGTATTCTACAAGCACCCAGAAAATATAATGATCTTAAGCACACAAATCGCGTTTATTTATACATCATAGAAACATCCTTGGGAAAGCCATAAAAGTAGCCTACTAAAATAAAACATCAACCAGTCACAGTCAAGGATGGTGGGAAATATAATCTCAAGGTCAACTGTGATCAGCCCATCAATATAATCCAAAATTAAAACCTTTATCAAGTGAGTTCTGAGGATCTTACCTCCTCACAGACATCTGCGTTTTTCATAGTTGATAACACAATGATTTACCAAACTGACAGAATTTTTAAATTGTTTCATCAACATTCAGGAAGTGATACTTATATCAGTGAATAGCGATGTCTATCCGCCTCTTTGGTTTGTGTTAGTCAGCTGTGATATCATTTCAGTACAAAAACAACCCCACACCCTTACATCGTTATTCAAAGAAAGTTTTAGTTGTGATTTACTTATTTACTACTGAACTGTGCAATAATTATAAAGTCCTTTTTTTTAAAAAAAAATTAGTTTTGTAAATAAAAATGATGAATAAAACATTATTCAGTTTATTGGTGGTTGATTATGTTACGCTTAAATCTAGGTATGCTTCAACTAATACGAGTTCACCTTAGTCGATAAACGAGAACAAAACAATGAACAAGCATCCAGGTAGGTTACTGTGATCCTTTGACCGAATTGAATCAGCAAGAAGTCTTGATATAGCGTAGAAAATGTATTCTACAAACACCCACCCAGCAAGCACACAATGAATCCAAGCACTCAAACTGCGTTTATTTATACTTTATAGAGACGTCCTTGGCACAGTCACAAAAATAGCACACTAAAATGACACAGTAACCAATCACAGCCGAGGATTTTCGTGGTGGAAAATGTGATCTCAAGGTCAACTGATCGGCCCATGAAATAAATCCAAAATCAAGGCGTTTATCAAGCGAGTTCTGGTGACCTAACATCCTCAACAGATTACCACAACGAAGTATTTTAATTTGGTTTCATTTAAAAGAAAAAGCCTAACAGTTGGTCTGTTTTTCGACTTAATAATCATAAACATATATTTTTCAATTAAAGTTATGTAGATTATTGTTTTTACACATTTAAAATCATTAATCTATCATTGTTAGACCACCATTAGAAGCCTGGAAGCACTGGATGGCCGTTCCGACCTAGTATTTGACTCATCAGTGGCAGTGCGCATCCACAACTCCTGCATCTCTCACGATTTAATTCCGGGACCTTCGGTCTTTCGTGCGAAACAGCCGTCTTTCAGTGCTTCCAGGTTTCTAATGGTGGTCTGACATTGATCGATTCATTATGTCAAATGTGTAAACATATATTCTTTTTTATCTAAAATAATCACCAGTAATGAACATTACAGTGATAAAGTGTATTTCCATTGGATAGTAGACACTTTTCCGAAGGTCAAAATGATAGAATTGAACGTTCTGTCACATACTTTACAAGTTTATTAGTGGTGATGACTAAATCAGTTAATTAGTCAGTTAGTTACATAGTTAATTAGGTAAACCGTAATCATAGTTATATTTTCTTGTCTAGTTTTTGCTTATGAAGACGTGAACTTTAGGTTGTGCCACAGAGTGTTGTTTGCACGTCAGTTATTTTAATGACAATGTAAGTATTATCAAGTCACATAATACAAAACCAACGTAAGCAAACTGAACGTTTGAATGAAATGTTGTTATTTTGATAAGATTATTCCTATCTAAAGTGCTGAAGTTTAAACACACTAACAAGTATAATAGATCAAATTCAAAATCTTAAATCGAAGTAATCATATGATATGGAGTGCAACTCATTTTCATTTAATTAACGATAAAATACATATACCCTTAAGAATGCTGTATTTTGAAAGTACTTACTTGAAAACCAGAAGGACGTTTACCATCGGAGACGCTTACACTTCTACTGGCATATCCACCTGTTTGACGATCAAACGAACCTAGCAAAGTATAAAAACAATAAAAATTTTTTTAACTTTAACTAAGTTACATGTCAATTACTAAAAGGCATCGTAAATATAGATTAAAAAATGTCCAATTTGTTTTTAGTGTGAGATTGTTTAAGAGCACATGCTTAAGAAATAGCCTTCAACCATGTATGAGGCTTTCAGAGTTTTTTGACAATTTTGTCGCAGGGAGACTTTAATTATCTAAATCAGTTAACCAAGTTAGACTTACATAAAAGTGTGTATAAAACTTCTTTCACAAAGTAATTGAGGTTAATAGGATAAATCTTACAAACTAATGTATAACTCATAGGATTTCAAACTGGGAACCCCTGGTCTTGTGAGCGGATGCCTAATCTCTAGATCACTGAACCGGTATCTGACAGTGTTTATGTTTGACTTCGATCAATCCACGGTCTTGCACAACCTCATCGCCTTGTCTTTGTTGAGCACTGCTTCACACCCAAACAGAGTTGATCTCCACTAGTGAAGAGCCCAGTGAGGTAGTTTCTCCAAGTTCTGGTGAGAGGTCGTAGTCAGCAGTGCTCATTCACGACTCTCGCTACTCACAGGAATCGAATTCAGGAATTTCATGTTTCCTCACGAACGCTTGACCTCTTCACAATTATGCCAGCATTAGAAGGTATTAATGTCTAACTCTGATCAATCGTAAAATGTGCTCATTAAAAACTAGGTTCGGGAGGAAATACTTGGAGTCCTAGTGAAAGGACGTGACCAGTAGGTGCTGGCAGTAACTACCGAAAACAGTGGATAAAGTTGCGCGAGATCCTTAGATTGACCATAGTTAGGCATTAACACCGTTGGATGCTAACTCAGTAGTCCAAAGTTTAAGCGTTCGCGCGTAACACCGAACGTGTTAGGTTCAAATCCTGTGAGTAGTAAGAATCATTGGTGCACATTGCTGCTGAGTCCCAAACCAGCCTTCCAAGTTCCGAATGGTGGTCTAACATTGGTCAACTCATGATTCATATATATATATATATATATATATATATATATATATATATATATATATCGATAACAATATTATCGAAATTCCTCTAATCTAAATCACATTACCACTTCGTTTATGAAATAAAATTTTTAATATTCCCCACGGATTCATTAAAATTAAATTATTCACATTGTACACAGCTATGCATTCAACGATAAAACACAATGAATTCTCGGATTAAGCATTTCCTTCTCTGTCGATCGATTTTAATCGCTTCTCTATAGCCATTAACCTCTTTTGAGATGCCTTTCGCCTTGTCTATATGGCTAATAATTTATTATGCTGAATGATTTTTTTACTCCTGTGTGTGTGTGCGCGCGCTTTCTTTTTTTGTACAATGTCATAGTTGATTTATGCTTGCTTGATATGTCAACCCTAGAATTCGCATTTTTTGTTTGTTTGATCGCTTCGAAAAAGAGTAGTAGTAATTGTTTTTATTGGGAAATTATGTAAATTTGATCTTGAAGAAATTATCATTTTAGTTTTATCGATCAGAAAAAAAAAAGTATTTAGAGAATAAAACAAGACTGTTTAATCTTCCGGTTTCGTTTTCATTTTTACTTCAAATCGATCGATTAGTTGTGGTGAATTATTTTGTTTGTGTATGAATTCCGGATAAATATTTTTCACTAACAGTGTTGGGACATTACTAGTAGAAGTGGATAGTGAGTAGCAGTGGAATCGAGGACACGGGTTTCGTTCTATTCAGGACTCGTCATCTGGATGTACCTACATCTCAGAGTTGATATTCACTTCAGGACTCAGTGGCTAAGTGGCGCTTGAAGTGAACATTAATTCAGAGATGTAATTAAATCCAGGTGACATGTCCCAAAAAGGATGAAACACGAATCCTAGATTTCACTGAGAACTGGATAGGGAAAGGACAAAGAACACCAGGGAATTTTTAGAAACTTGACACTTAGGTCCATCAGCAGTCAACAAACACATCGACAATGATCCAATTTATCAACTAAGCAGAAACATCATAGGTGACATAAGATCAAGAAACAGATTAAAAAGGGGATACAATCAAAACAAAGGTGCAAACAACGGTGGTGGTCCGATGGTTAGGCGTTCGCGCGCAAGATCGAAGGTCCTGGGTTCGAATCTCGTGGGATACAGGAGTCGTGGATGCGCACTGCCACTCATGAGTCCCATACCAAGATTAAACGGCCGTCTTTCAGTGCTTCCAGGTTCCTAATGGTGTGGTCTAACAACGACTGATCGGTGATTTCAAATGTGTAAAAAAACACTAATCTCCATAACTCAAATTGAAAGTACTATATTTACTTGACTAAGTAAAAACAAACAAATTATTCGTTGATAAAGTGGGTGTAATGAGTTTTAGAAACGACTGATTATTGTTTGATTTTCCCAGTAACAGTAGACATTTATAACTCACAGTGAGTAGAAAAATAAGGGTATAGTCGATGCTTCTGAGCCTTGTGCCGAATTAAATTTTTTTTGTGAAAAAATGGATTACTTTATCAGAACATGTAGCATCTCACCATTTATTCGTTAAACTAACTTTAATGATGAGTTGTTTAAATTAATCGATAATAGTATCGACCATTTTATAATATTTCGATAACAGTATCGACTATTGTATATTTGATTGCGTTTTGTGCATGCTTACTCACTTATTACATGTCTAGCCTATTATTGCTTGACTAATAAATATTTAGTCATTGCTTCAGCACACTGAGAGTTGGCTCATTCGCCTTGTCCAATTCGCTTCGCTTTGCTTGTACACTTTTCATTCTCATGCCTGTCTGCATAGAGGAATGCATGATATAAATCGATACTCAACGCCGTATTTGACTTCTTATTATCGCCGTCGCTCAAACGGGGTTTACCTAAGTATGGATATACGGAACTAGACAGGAAGATTTATTTCATCGCATATGTTTGGATGTTCATCCAATATCCTAAGAGAATTATTGGTCAATTCCTATTGGTTAATTCCTACTGGTCCACATTATGGTCGTCCTAGATATCAATGTCACGTGCTCCAGTGTTGTTTCTTATCGGTTGTCTTGACTATCAATGTCACTTAAAATGTTGCTTCCTACTGATCGTCTTAACTGTCAATGTCACAGACTTCGATGATGTTTCCTACTCGATCAAAATGTATAAATACACATTATCTGTAACATTTTATGACCAGGACAAGGACCCGGTCCCGGATCCCTAGTCCGGGATCCCGATTCTCTTCTGGACTCGAACCCCGTACTTTCTGGGTGCTTTTAGAATACATGTTCTACTTCGTATCAAGTCTTGTCTTATTTTTGACTCAATATAGGGGTTGGGATAATCGGATTGAGTAGTATGTCGTGTCGTCGGATCCTCGATCCTCACTCTCGTTTTTCGACTAGGTAAACTCGTAATAGTTCAGGCATATCAAGTTGACGTGTTAACGTGCAGGCGTAACAGTATACTCGATCATTAATCCATACTGGAGTCAAGTCGCGGGTCACTAAATTTATGAGTCCTACTTTGAATTTAACACAGCCACTAAAAAACACATTTCCATACTAGAACAAACAAAATAAAATTGAATAATGAATAATTTTATACATTTGTTTGAATAACTATAATTTACACTGCTGCGTGCGTAGTATCACTAGTCTTATGACGGTTGATATTCAACATGTTCTTAGTCTTTGTAATTTCCTCGTCTTGGCAATCGTCACTAAATAGCAGCGCCTGACGTTTATAAATCAGAAGGCAAACACGAGAGGTTGAATATGTTTATTTCTGACACATCACAAAATGCACCAGCAGACCATAAACTCATAGAACAGGGCAAGCTCACTCGCGAACAAGTTGGCGCACTAACGTTCTCCACTTCATTTCATTCGCTGATTCGTTCATTACCTCGCTTGCTTGCTTGCCTTCCGGCACTTGCATATCAATTTCATGTCTGTGGTCAGCTGTTGTATTTGTGGTGTGCAAGAATAATCGTATTCAACCTCTTGTGTTTACCTCCTGATTTATAACCATCAGGCGCAACTTAGTGACGATTGCCTAGACGAGCGAAATACAAAGTTTAAGAACAAGTTCAATGTCAACTGTCACGAAACTAGTGATACTACGTACCCAACAGTGTCACTTATAGTTGATTTTATGTAAGCCTACATTGATGAGTATGTGGACTGAGCAACGTTTAGGCATATACGTTAAGTTACTACTGGACAGAGTGCAAAAAAGACATTTTATAGTCTAATTTGTATAGAAAACTAATCATGTTCTCAACTTACAAACGATAGTTAATAAATATTGTATATAACAGCATCATGTACATTTCCACTTCACTAACTCAATAAATTTTTAAACATCATAGAAGACACTTAGTTGTTATTCTATGGAATAATTACACACAAAGTTTTTTTTAATAAATGAAATGCATTTCAATATATGAGGATCAATCAAATTACTTCAATGCTGATCATAACAGAAAATGGAAAATTGTTTGCATTACAAATGAAATTACAATCATATTTAAACAGTTCCATTATAGTTTGACATGAAGAAAGTACGCACACCACTTGACTTCATCTTGTTTTTTTGGGGCACTTAAACAAAATTCAATGATCTTTTTAATTTAACCGACTACAATGGATTCATATTTTGTACTAGTAGGAAAAAGATGTTCATGATGTAAACATTACATGAAAGAAATAGTTCGCTAATAAATGGTCTAAAAGTGATTGATTCATGATTTCAGTATGTAAAAACAATGATCGCCATAACTCTAATTGAAAGACAGCAAAATACGCAGAATGAGCAGAGTTAGACATTAGCATCATTAGATACCGGTTCAGTGGTTCAGAGGTTAGGCGTTCGCTCGCAAGACCGAAGGGTTCGAATCCTGCAAGTAGCAGAAGTCGTGAATGCACACCTCCACTGATGAGTCCTATACCAGGACGAAACGGCCGTCGAGTGCTTCCAGGTTTCTAATGGTGGTCTAACAATGATT